AAACGAAAATTTGTCTGATTTGCTAGAGAGTTTTTTGTTTTTGAAAAATCACCCCCCCCCTGTAAAATGTAGCTCGCACATTACTGAGTTAAATACTGAATCTTTATTGAATACATACCGAAATAAAAATGAAATGCTCAATAATATTTTTGTATGCTATTTTTACTGAAAATTTATGTTACATTTTTTGTAATTTTGATGTTTTCCATTCGAAATATTTTTTTTAAGTGAAAAAGAAAATTCCTTTAGAGGATCGGTAAATTGTTTTGTAGCTGCGATTAATCGATCATCACGAAAATGTTTACCAAAGGGTTGAACCGTAGGCAAGTGGAGCCGCGCTATAAGAAACTGGTGTGGCTGCGTATGAAGGAGCGGCTACATGATGATATGAGTAAGTTTTTGCATACGAAACTGGAGCAGCAGCAGCAGTATACGTTGTGACTATAAGTCAGTACAAAAAAATATAATCCAATAAAAATTTCTTTCATATACGATATTAGCATGTCTACTTACTTGCTGGAGCAGCGGCATAGGTGTAAGCTGGAGCTGAATATGAAATTGGAGATGCTGATACCAAAGCTGGTGCGGCTCTGTGCAAAAAACCTGGCTTGGCAGCGGCCAAAGCAAGAAGAGCAGACAATACGATCTATATAGATGAAGAAATAATTGAAAAATGAACAAATGAAACGCTGTTCAAACTTTTGAAATTGTGCACAATTAAAAAAAAATGATACAATTTCGTATTGTAGAAATGTTAGCAACATTTTAATTTGTAAATGAATTCACTCACCAATTTGAACATGTTGAACGGTTTGTTTTTAGTTTGATTGCTACGATTGTACCAAATGAACTGATACAGATTGTGATTTTGCATCTGCTTTTATACTCCAAATCATGTGGAGCGCTGACATACAAATACCTTGAAATTCAATCGAATTCTTATCTAAATCTAATTAAAAAGAGATAGTCATTGTTTGTTTTTTTATGACTATCCAATGGTCATAAACTTTATTTAAAGTATTTTATTCAATTTTCAAGCAAGCAAAGTTCGTATCGCTCTGTTTGTTTATATTAGATTATCCTTGCTGCAGTAAAAATTTTCCGTCTTTTATTCAATTTACAATTTGCATAAAATAACTGTTTAAATTATGAAGTTTGTGGATCAATTTGTGTGTGTGATAGAGAGGGAAAAATGACTAGCTGAATTGTTTAGGTAACGAATAGGTGTTACAAGCCATGGCAATTATTATTGGATAAACGATTGGAAAAATCTCATCATAGAAAATTTTCATCTTTAATACTTTTCTGCAAAATACAACCAAATCGCTATTATTCAATTTTGTCTATTCACTCTTGTCTTAGGGGACAGTTTTCATACATTGCCGATACAGTTGCTCTGATTGATTTTAAACCATTTTCTATGCACCCACAAAAATAGAAGCGAAATATAGAAGGAAGCACATTGAAAGGAGGGAAAAAAAATAAAAATAGAACATTCGTACTGCTTCAGTGTAACAAACCTTTTTTTTTAATATAAAGGAGGTCTACTTCAATTTTCTTCCAGCGATGTTGACATGTCGAAACTCGAGCACGAAAAAAAATAACAGTAACGAAAAATTTTCTCCGATTTATTCATATATTTTCATTTTCAATCAGACGATTTTTGTCACAATATTACAATAGCATATGATATAAATATTATATTGTTTTAAGACTAGCGCTGTATGAAGTATTTTTTTACATACTGGAATCGATGCTCGAGATGACATTTTTGAGCTCATTTATTTTGCATTTCTGACTCACTTTCAATAATATTAATGAACCAATTTTGATTTTCTATTTTTCTTATTTTACAAAAAAAATTCACTAATCTCAAACGGAGTTTGATCTAAATTATTTTTTATAGAGTTTCTAGTGAAATAATTATATAAAACGAAAAAAAGAAATGATCTGTTCAATTCCATACGTGGATGTGTGAATTGCTTAATATTCTGAAGACTATATAGAAAAAAAAATGTTTATAGTTCGCAGTGCAAATTTTACATAGCAAAAATGTACAGTACATTGCAAACCTTAAAAAAATCCAAAAAAAAATTACTTACTAGCTACTGTTTTACATTAACTATTGGAATGAGATGATCAATCCGATTAGACACCGATATGGTTATTGAATGAAAGTTGTTCGTGCTGCAATGTGAGCGGATTGGAAGCAATAAAATTTGATGGTATCGAACGCGGATCTTGCATTTTCTCTACATCTTTGTTTGTTGATTGCAGTGAGTTTATCGTTTGCGGCCAGGTCATTGTTGGTAGTCTTGGCACTGGCCGGAATATTTGTTGTCATTTATCTGATGCATTTGAATCTTTTTGATATGAATCACTGCTAGTGACAGAAATAAAATCGAAAAACAAATAATTTTAATTTGTTTTTTTTTTTTGAAATCGTCTCTTGTTCCGATCAAAATGCATATTGAAAAGAAATGAATACCTTTTGTTATTTTTCTCAATTCGTTGATGTTGCACGAATTGAAATGCGGACAAGCATTCTCGTTGTTGATAGTAAAGTTCACGGATTTGGTGTAAATGACGTTGTTCAACGTCTGGTAGCATTGTTTTGTATTGTGTTGGCATTTGTGCAGCATTTCTACCGGTTATCAATTTATTGTATTCCAAAAAATTTAATCTCTTTTCCATTTCGCACACCGAATACTGATGAACAATTGCATGCTTTTTAAGATAGGCCATTCTACGAAATGAGAAAAAAAAGAATCAACAGTCGGTGCATCTCACAATATGATTGCTGAATAAAGAGATAAATAAACGTTGATCTAACCGTCGGAAGGCTTTTCCACAATCTTTGCACACGAAATTTCCCAATTGACCATCACTATTGATGGCATTTTCGCTTGGCCTCACATTTGGTTTATGCTTTATTTTAAGATTTGTTGCTGTCACACTCTTTTGCGACAAATTACTTTGGCGTGGCTTATGCCATCGACGATGTGATGCCAAATTTGCTGGACAATTAAACACCTGATTTATATTGATGAAAGAGAAAAAGAAAAGAAACCATCCGAGACATTAATTTGTGCTCTACATTATACGGCCAAGCCGTTCACAGTGTTAGTAGCACCTGTGATTTAAATAATTGGCAATTTTAAAGCAGCATGAATTGATGATTTATGTAACACATTTTAAACGCCATTAAAACAAATTAAAACTCTTCGCCAAATTTTTTCGTTCTTCTAAATTTGAAACTTAGATTATCAATTCTCGAATTTTGTACGTTTAAATTAGATGAACATCGGTAAATCGTCAAAAAATCACAAAAGCAATCACGATATCAAAATGAAGACATAAATCATCATTCAACCTTTGCTTAAATTAAAGTGAAAGTTGATTTGGGATCTGCATCGGGAAATGTTTCGAATCGTTTTTTAATTAGTCGTTTGAAAAAGATTCAATTCATCTAGATGATGTCTTTTGCTTACAAATAAAAGAACAGACGCATCAGAACACTTTTTAACTGGTTTAATTGACGATGCAAAATAAAATCAAATGACATTGAGCTATAAAAAGAGCTAAATAAAAAGAAAAGGTTACCGTGCGAATTTAATGATTGACTTTTATTATGGCATTATTGCAACGATGATTCAAAGAAACAACCGGGCCAATTAAAAGAAACTAATTTGAATGATCTTACTTTTAATGAATAGACCAGACCTTTACGATTCGACATTTTGCGGTTAAAAACTCTGGCATTTTAAAATAGTTTGTTTCTCTATTACGTAGTATTGTGCACCCTAAATCTAAGTGGATGTATTTAAACATCTTATTCATTTTAATCATTCAGTAGTTGTGTAAATTCTTCATATTTGTAGTCGAAAAATCAAAATTTATAAAAAGTCCAAATCAATGAATCCATATGTTGAATATTTCAAATGAAAATTCTTTAATCACCTTTACTTTCCAGAGAATAACAAAACATATAATCGACGTAGTCTTTTGTTGTAATAAAATATTTCTATTGATAAATAATCAAGCAAGAATTTTATTTTCTACAAAAACTTCGAATGTAAGACGAAGATGTCTTTAAATAGAAGAGTGTATATGAAGCGAATATTTAGCAAAAATACATAGTTTTGTGGGGAAAGTTTCTTAATCATTCTTGCCTCTTGAATATTCCTTCTGATTAAAAAAAATTAGATCGCATTCACGAATCCGGCCCGTTAAGTAAGATTGTTTACGAATTGCTTTTTCGTTTATTAGAGATTGTAATTTGGTCTTCGATAGATTGAAAAGATTTACATCTTGTTCCAGATAAGAAATGTTTTTTTTACAAAATCTCAAAATTTTAATTGAAAAAATTGAAATTAAGTGCAGAAAAAAAGCAATCATCTACAAAAGTACCTTATCACATTCAGCACATCGATATTCAATGTGAACGATTCGTGAGCATCTGTGCTGTGCCAATTGAAATGCATCATTATAAAGTTCGCGGCAAAGTTGACAAATGTATGATCCAATTTTATTCTCAATTTTCGACAGAATTTTCTTCGCTTCGTCGGTAATTTCGACCACATTAAAAGCTGGATCAATATCACCGCGACGCACCACAAGTTCTTCATCGTCTCGTAGTCGTCGTATTATTGTACCAGAAACAGGGCTTATATTATCATCGTCCTGTTGAATGTTTCGTTTGTGTTTTATTCGTTTTTTCATTGCAATATTCGGTGGTGTCGTTGTTGATTCGTCCGATGGTAGCTTATCATAGATTGAAATGCGATGATTTTTGATGTCATTGCAGAGTGATTTCTCAAAGAGTTTTGCAAAACCATCCATCGCATTTTTATGTAATTTTTCATCGTCATAGTAAGTTTTATTTCGATCCAAAGCACCGTTGCATTGTTCACTCATGATATCATTATCACCGTCGTCAATGTCATCATCATCGTCTTCGACATCATTGATCAAAACGATGGGTATTTCCGGTTCATTTGTGTCAACCTTTTCAAATGCCGAATTAGTTCGTCGCGGCAGCACGACATCATCTTGTGTCAACACATCCACAAATGCATCTTCGTCCGAATCGAAATCGTCATCAATGCTTAAATTATAACTAAATTGTTGTTGTTGGTCATTTTGTGTACTATTTGTTGTGAAGTCTTTTATTCTACGTTCGGTGATATCGATTCGTTCTTGATTTGATACTTGTTTCGTAGCATGGGTAACAAGAATTGGTGTGGTGGTGGTGGTGGTGGTGGTGTTGGTGTTAAGGCATGCTGCACTTTCAGAATTATGAAAGTATGCAGCACTTGAATGTCCAATTTGGTCCCATTTCCAAAATGCTGGCGTACTAGTTACGGTTGTTACGGCATTGATGTCCAAATTTTTATTCACAAATTCACCGATATTCAGTCGACATTGCACTGGCGATGGGGTCGTTGGCGGTGTTATTGGTGTCAATGTTCGAATTGACAAATCAATTGGCGATGGAAATGCACTGTGTCGTAATATAAACGGTGGAAAATACGATGGATTGCCCAAAATTGGCGGTACACGCAACTGATGATATGGAAACATTTTTATTTCTCACTCAAATTTTATTCACAATTATTTGAATGAATTATATCTTTTTTATCTCAGCTTAAATATCAATGATTGTTATCGGAAAACTTATTTTCGTTATTCACAAAACGACCGTAATTGTGTAATAGTTTCAGCCAAACAATAAATTATTCAAAAAAAACTGTTCAACATCAAATCAACGGAATTGGATTGAAAATGATTAGAAACATCCTTTTTTTTATACACACATTCAATTTTCACAGTCGGTAAGTCAAAAAAAAATTACAATACAAAATGCGGCGTGTCGACCGCCTCTAAGGACAATTCGCAATCAACTGAACATATTTTCACGGAGTACGCAACTCAATTTTGCCCATTTCGAATATAGATATAGTCAGTCACAGCGAAAAGTGAATTTTCTTTCATTTCATCGACTCAAGAACAACGAGTGCGAGAGTTGCAAATGGTATTGAGAGGCAGGCGGCAAAACGGTATAATACAAAAGGTTTCTTTTTTTTATATTTTATTGTATTTAGAGAGAATAAACATTATATCATGTACGATACACAGAGCATGCTAAGGCACACAGAATACACAAAGCGATTTCCATTCTATGCTTTTTCTGCATCGGCATTGGATCGCATTAACATGTTTATAGACAAACTTTTCAAAACTGCGCATATTCGAAACGCCTTCTTCACTTTTCACATGCACATACCAAACCAGTGAATAAAAAATATCAACAAGTTACAGAAGCTGAAGGTTAACGGGACCCGCCTATGTTATCCTGTCTTTCTACCAATTGCAAAACTTCATCATTTTGCATCATTTTGTACAATTTTTCCTGCTTTTCTTCTTCCTTTTTTGCGCTAACATTAATTATTTAAGCGAATCAACACACACGCTCTTTCATTTCTCCATCAGGTTTCAATGAAATATTTAGATGGACTTATGAAAAATATACAAACTACACATTCATTGGTACAAAACCAACAAATTGCGAGACAAAAACTTTGAATCGATAACAAAAGATTCAAATTCAAAGAAGCATTCTTGAAGTTAGTAAATGGAATAAATTCGCTTTGCAAATTACAATATTTTGAAAATATGCAACTAAATAATTCTGGTTAGAAAATTGCTTGCTATTTTTTTTAATTGAATTTTTGAGTTTTAATTTTGAATGAACGATGAAAAGAACATCTTAATTCAAAAATCTTGGACACAATTCAAAAAGTCAAATGTGACTTTTCTTAACATTCAGAAATGATTGCAATCCTTCGGTAATATGAGCCATTAACTGAAACAAAAAAAATTACAGTGACCGTAATTTTATCAATATTTTTATTTTAAATGACGTATTTTTTTTTTGTCCGGAGCAAAACTTTGTATAGAATAGGACTTATATGAATTATTGGACTCAAACAGGATTTTTGTCCCATTTGATGTGATCGACATGTTTATCAAATGTATTTACAATTTCTTACAATTGGTGTTTAATGCACAGTACTGATTGAAATGTCATGCATTCAAAATTGAAATGGTCCCATCCAAATTACCATCATTACAATGTAGATTATATAATTTAAATGCACTTCAAAGTACTTATGCCTCTATTAAAATATGTCACACAATTATTTAGCACTTGTATATATATGAATGTTATTACTTTGTCAAACATGGGGTAAACACACGCGTCACACAAGGGGAATTCATGGTATGTCAGTTCACAATACTGTGGAATTCCATACGGCTCATTTATATGTATAGCCAATTTGTTGCATTTTTACGGTCCCCTTTCATTTTACATTCAGTGGCTGTGCTGAGTTATGAAAATTTATGCGCTCATAATGCACGAAACATATATGAATGGAAAAAAAGAGAGAAGTCAACCCGGGTTGGTTGTCACCTACTTGAACCAGGGGCCGCAGTAATTGTAGTTTAATAACATTTTTCAATATTTTTATGCAAATATCTTTGAATTGATATAAAGTAGATTATTAGCATGATTTCTAGAAAATATGCTCTTGAATATACAGCCACTTAAGTGATAGAAGATGTGGCATAAGCGAACATTCACTGAATGTTTATGTTAAACGGTGCTGTTAACATTGTAATGGTTTGCATGCAATTTGATTCATTTTTGGTGCCAAAATTATAATTGTTCTTAAAATTGATTGAACCGAAAAATTAACCGTTTTGCAACGAACATTCATAATTACAAAATAATATGCTTGAAACGATTGTTTCTTCAAAATAGATTTTTTTTTTCAGTGTGCAAAATCTCTCGCTTAATTCAATAAGTCATATATTTGTTTTGAAATGCAGACATTATAATGAGATATTTTCAACCAGATGAATCAGCTCAGCCAGATATCGTCAGGAGCTGAAATGGAGTGAAAACAATAAAATGATTGTTAAAGTGACTGTAGCAATGTAAGTGTTATTATAACCATAACAGTCACTCATATTGTTTTCACTAAAGAATGACTATGAAATTATAACAGTTTTTGTACCATTTTTATATGACCTGATCCACTCGCATTTATTCTACATTTGTGAACAGCTTTCATTGGGCTGAAGCTTTGAATGTTAATTAGATACGAGTGGAGAAATGGTATAAAGCGTTGAGTTATTCTTTCAGCTCCTGACGATATCTGGCTGAAAATATCTCATTATAATATCTGTTGAAATGACATAATAAACTCTTTTGCACTAAAAGGCAATCTTACGTCGAACGTAATATTATTTCAAAGATTAGATCCAAAAATTTAAATCTTTCTAAATAACAACAATCATACGTGAAAAATAAAATCGAATCCAACCCAATGAGGAGTACTTAGAAGTGTGAAATATCGAATAGACTTTTTTAGAAAACAAGGTCTAGTTGGGAATTCCTAGTTTGGAAAGGCCTAGTTGTATTTTGTCTATTTTTAATTGAAAAATAAAATGGGGAGAGCTGCAAGAATTTGCAAATAAAATAAAATAACGTGATGTTTACAATTTACAACAGCAAAATTAATTTTTTAGAAACCTTTCATTGTCATTGTTTATTTATCATGTTTGTTTCTTATCATAGACCTTTGCCCAATTTAAAATTTGATTCATTTTTTTTTCGACGAACGATAGTGTTATTTTGAAATTGAATCACTGTGTTGCCGTAAATGTGAATTCATATTTGTCAACAATAAAAATACATTTAAATTTATCTGATTTGTCAATCTATTGCGCGAAACGGTGATGTTTATTTTTGCTGTATTTCATTCTTCGCTAGTCAATCTGCTTTTGGACAGGAACGACTGAACAACACTTTAGAAATCGGCGAAATTTCGTGAATTGTAACAATGAAGAGTATTATAATTGTTTGGCTGATGTTTTGCTTGTGTGTGTGCCTTGCCAATAGAGTGAATGTTGGTGCTGGAAATATCCTCAGCTGGGGCAATATCAACGACTTCAAGTCTTTGGGTTACATAACATTAAGGGGCCAAGCATATTTTCCCAATTCAAATCTCAGTCAATCTTTAGAATTTCCATCGGTTTGTAACAGTTTTTCTTAAGTCAAACTATTAAATATCAAAACTAATGCATCTTGTAATTATATCGATCGGATTCATGTAGAAAAGTTCTGATAGCAAGAAAAAGGAATATTTAATTGTTGGAATAATACACACTAACAACGCCAATGATACGGTCGAAGTGGAATTCGTTGAAGGAACTCTTCCGCGTTCAAGAGTAAAAATTTTGGTCAATGCATATGAAGGACGCAGCATCAATTCCAAAATTGAATTTTTTGGCATTAAAGTTGAAGACTTTTGCAATTAAAAAACTAGATTTACTTCACAAATTGATAGTCGCTTAAAATTTTGTTTTAAATCTTAAATAAACTGGAAAATAACAATAAATACGTTGTATAAAAACATATATTCCCTTATTCTTTTATTTGGCTTCAATTACATTTTCTGACTAAGGAAAAAACGAATGAAAAATTGAAAATTGCTTTCGGAAATTAATTTATTGCTACATTCTAAAAGTTCAATGATGATTGTAAATATTTGTATACACTCATTACCAATTAGATATGGACGTTGTGTCGTAAATTGGACACATTTAAATTTAGCGAGCTTTAGTTTTCTAGTGAAACTAGTGGAGAACATATCAGAAATATGAAAGCAATTGCAGTGGTGTTGATATTGTTTTGTTTGAGTTTGTGCTTTGCACGTAAAGTGACTCTTAAGGCATTCAGCACCATTATTTGGGGCAGAAACTATCCATATCCATCATTAGGTTAAGTATAAGCATTCTTTTTCATTAAATTTGATTTCATTTTTATGCAATATTCTTTGGAACTATCCTTCAGGTAACGTAACTAGATTTCAAAAAGCACCAAATAACGAAACGACTATTATTCAGTACGTAGTATTTCCATTGGTAAGACATTTAAATAATCGAAAATACATTTATTCGACAACATGAAAGTGAGAAAAAACCAACATCAGAACAAATTTCAAAAGAAAGTCTATTCTCACAGAAAGAATATTGACTTTTTTTTGAGATTATCAAAAACTGTCCTCAGTATATAAATTTATATTTTCTGGCTTTATTCAGAACTTAAGTTAATTGGTAAACAAAAAATGATAGTTGATTACTTTCATGGTGTCAGTAATTTATCTCCTTTACTGCTTGACATCTCTTTTTTAAATTCGCTTATTATTAGATAAATGAGAGCACAGACATCACTGTTGAGAGTAAAAAAGATTTGATTATTGCTATTAAACATGCGAACAACGCCAACAATACCGTTGAAGTTGAATTCGTCCAAGGACTGCTGCCACATTCAAGCGCAAAACTAATCGTTACTAATTTAGGACAAACCATCAATTCGACAATTGAATTCTTTGGATATAAGGCCGAAGAGTTTTGCAACTAATTTTGTGTTTTTGCTTTGTTTTTATTTTTCTATTGAAAAAATGAAGGCAGTTTTCAAATGAAATAAAAGCAAATATAAAATGTATTACACGTTTTCATAATCACGATTGATGTCGAAAAAAACAGGCAGAGAAAAAGTTACTTGCATTAGATTAATTTTTAAAATTGTATTTATATGAACAGAAAGAATAACGCTTCTAAACACAAATTGTTTTTTTTTTAGCAAACAACAAATTTTATCAAACAGAAGATCTTCTATTTCCGCCAGCG